CATGGAGTATGACAGGATAAAAGAACACTGATAGCTAACAAATGAAGCCTACATTTGGCTGTAGTGGTCATTAATTAGATTTGCAGGTTATTTGATAGCTATGAGAAGCATAATTGAAAACCAGCCAGAGAGCTCACCCCAGAGCCTGACAATAACTCTCCCAATAAAACAGTTCTGGGAGTTTAGGGGTCACCTATTCTGTCATTTTAATGCACTGTGCAAGGCAGCAAGCTCACTCCTGTGTCAGTGCTTTGTACCTGCCTCCAGAACAAAGGTACCCACAGATGGATGGTGCCTGTGGGGAGGGGGCTTGCCCTGCACTGAATCCCCCCAGCCCTCAGGTGCTGCCACAGCTGCCCCTCGAGCACCTGCATTTTCAATTAACTGAAGGAGGCTTCTGCTTTTTCCATTGTGCTTTTCTGGTTTCTCACTGCTGTTACTGTGGTTTTAAGGAAATTTTAAGAAGTAGCAATTGGTGTTTGTGGGCAGGAGGATGGCTTTGGTATGACCTTTTTTTACTGAAGCCAGATGTGTGCTGGCTGTCCAGATTGTGTGTTTCATTGATTTCCACCCCCCGTGGCAATACCATTGCAATATTGGATGTGTAGTAAACCCCTTATTCTTATTACACATTTTTCCTTTGCAGATCAGTGCACCTTTCATATCCCTAATTGTGCTAAGCCAAGAAATATGGTGTTCTATGAATGTAAAAAATGGGAAGAGGGGTTGTTCAGTCAGCTAAGACCAAGGAAATGGCACAGCCTGGGTTTTCTCTGCCTGGTTAGCAGGGAACTCAGATCAGTGTGTGCCTTTTCTGCCAGGGGTTTAAACACTTCTGGGCAAGGGTGAGAGGAGTCCCTTCTGAAGGAAGGAATTATTCCTTAATTTGATTGTATTTACTGTTTATCCCATAAGATTTTTGCTTAACTGTGTAGCTGTGTGTTTGAGAAGAGTAACTGCCTCCTTCCAGGTGCAGAACCACTTTGGCTACAGGAACCTGGTGATTAATAGGGAAAAGGGTTTAGGGCTGGCAGAATGTGTAGGAATTCTTCCTGGGCAGTGCCCTGTGTGTGTGTTTTCACCACCATATCTCAGTTAATGATATGTGTAGTTTGGAACATACTGGTGCCTGTGAGGGCTCTGGCCTTGACCATGTTAATTAAATCTCACATAAATGGGAAGCAGATGACATGCTTGTCTGCAGAATTAAGAGCAAATTACATGGACCATAACTGAGGCTTTTTGCACTGTTACATTTGTACCCAGGTTGCAATTCCAAGCAGTCCTTTGGCTTAATTCTGTGATACAATTTCTGAGTTAGGACAGTGATATGAAGCCAAATTCCCGGCATTAGATATTTCTTCTCAAAGAAATGAGGTGTAAATCCAATAAAATCAGTTTTATTGACCTGGACTGAAGTAGCTAAATGTGGTAGAAGGCCCTTTTTTTGCTTTTTCTGAATAACTGCTGCATTTGTATGAAGGTTTATCAGAAGCATTTTAATGCTGTAGAAGCCGGCGTTTCCTGTGGACCTGCCAAGAGAGGAATCCCATCCTCTGAGGCAGCACAAATCAAATTAGCGAGGACTGAGTTCTTTCTTCTAATTGTAGGAGTTCTGTCAAATCTGTTTAATACTGAGATACAGCTGACCCACTTGTGTTTGGCACGTGTCAGTGAGCAAAAAAAAGCACAAGGTTCATCCATTGTTTAAGTTTTCAGCTTTGGTTTTGTTAAAAAACTAACGAAGTGTTCATTATTTTTTATCTGAATTGTTTTTTTCGGTGTATTTTATTGTGATTTAAGTATCCTACTGCAGTTTCCATCATAGTTGAGGCTTAAAATTGTCCTTAAAGGTTTGTAAATTAAGGTATTTATAAAAAGAAAAAGAAAGACAGTATTTCCTTTGCAAATTAGGTGTCTTGGATGTTACTGTGACATTGTTAATAACTGAATACCATTAAATTAGTGATAAATTTGCACATTAAATGGATGTGAGGAGGGAGCTGGTCAGGGGATGTCAAGGTTGGAAATGTAGGACCAGAGCTGCATACAAAGTCTGAGCTCTGGGCCCTGGGCATGTCCTGCTTTTTACTGGCCTGCAACAACTGCTCTGCAAAACTGTGGTGAACATGGGAAATTGTTACTGTTGGATTCTGGCTTTTCTTCACATGGATTTTTAATTTGTTATCATTTCACAAGCATTTGGGTGGAGGCATAATGAGGTGTCCTCATGTCTCCTGTGCTGTAATTCTTGAGGAGTGCAAAGAATAATCATTCTAAAAAGTCTCTCCAAAACCAGTGCCGTGGGAGTTTAAAGTGACTTGTTGGCAGAGTAGATTTTAGCAAATCCAAGCGCAGGCAGGACACAACTCCCTCTTGTCAGGGAGATTCTTGTGTTAGCACAAAAAATAAGGCCAAAGGCACCGACAGCAGGGGTTGGTCTGGATGTTCAGGGCCATGAAGGGAGCACTCCTCTCTGGATGTGACAGTCACATAGCTGGGGACTCTTCCAGAGCTGGAGAGCTTTGTCTCAGCAACCCCTGGGATTTCAGAGCCCATTTCCAGCCTGGCATCTCCTCAACACCCCTCCAGGCAGAGCATCACTTTGGGGAAATGCTGTGGCAATTTCTATACCCATGGGAGAAGGAAGTAATCAAAATTCAGCATGGCTAAAACCTGCCCATGATATTCTTCAGCTCACCATCTGAGAGTGAAAACAGCACAGCTTTACAGAATCTTTGTGGTTTTTTGGTTTTTATTTGAACCCCAAGGTTCTAAGAAAGTGGGGTTTAATCTGGCTGTAACTGAAGGAGATGAGAGGAAGAAAGAGTTTTGCACAGAACAACCTCTGAATTTGCCAACAGCTGCAGGAGGGCTGTGGCATTTGTCCTCACTCCTGTGTTTTCTTGTTAGGCTTTTTGTCAGCAGGAAATGGAAAATACTCAATAAAAGTATGAAATGATTGAAAGAATGTGTCTTTCTGAGTATATTTTAAGTTTTAATTTTTTGTGATGATTTCAGCTGTTAAAACTAGGCTCTTTTTCTCCTAACTTGACTCCAGCTGTTAAAATACCAGTTTATAACATGCATTTCTGGTGTTCCTTCTTACTTGCATGAGCTTGAATTTTGTACCACTATATTTCTTTCTTTTAAATACCATTTCATGGTAGACTCCTGACTTCCAAATGATTACTGGATAATAATATTGTCCACAGCCTGTTTCCTATCCTCTCTAGCCTTTTAACTAGTCATTGGCCAGAGGCAAATGACCTGTTTTTCAAGTTTTGGCAGCCACTGGAATGATGCTGGTATCTGTGTAACTGGATCAATGCCTGGAGGAGCTGTTTGGAGCCTGTAATTTGCTGACATGACATAATTTTTTTTCCCCATTATCACATGATTTAAAACCCCTCTAGCACAGTAATTTAAAGCAATTTTATTCTTGAAATATCTTATATAAGGAAAAGAAAAAAAAAAAGTCAGATTGCATTGTTCCAGGATTATTGTGCATTTTTTGATTAATTCTGTCAAATACATTTGTGTGCCATTGGGTTTTTTTGTTGATTTTAAAATTTATTTTTCTGAAAATATGTATCAATCTGCTCAAGGAGGTGTAGTTTTTTTTTTTTAATAACATTGCAGAGAATCAATCTGGCACAGCTGGTAAGTTTTTGCTGTGTATGTGGTAAACATAAATGAGGTCAGTTTTTGTCATGTGCAGGTCACTTTTGTGCATGAATATACAATGTGCTCCATGCATACAATAGATCTAAATAAATACTTACTTCAGAGAGGCCCAACTTGGAGGACATCTCCACCACATACTGGATTTTTTTGATGGATTGCACTGGGCTCCTCAAGACCTATTTATTTAAATCAAGGTCAGTGGCAGTAATCTCTTGGTGCAATGTCAATCCCAATTATAGTGGGGATAACATGGTGAAATTGAAGCATGATTTTGGGTAGATACATTTCAAATAACTTAATTTGACATTTGACCTAAATAGAAATACATACTCATGATGAATGGATTTGAAAGTATTGGGATACAAAGTGCAGTGATATTGAATAGTAGTAAATCTGTAACCAAAATAGTGGAAAATTTGTTATTTGAAATATTTTTAAAAGTGATCCATAGATATTTTAATTTCTAACAACAAATGAACTGTATTCTGGAAATAATGTGTAATTCTGTTCCTTTTCACATAGTGAGAAAAGGCTCCCTAATAGTTTATTTGCCATCAGGGTGTGAGAGAAATTGTGATTCAGAGCACCTTGAGATGTTGTTCAAGTGAATTGATTATTTTCACCATAATTACAGTCACTGTAATTATGATTTCTGTGAGACACTGGGTATGGTACAAGCTATCAGATGCTCTAATTAGACTAGAGAAATATTGTTTAGAAGTTGCAGTGTCGGAAGGTGAAAAGTAGCCCAGTGCAAGTCTGGTGGGAGATGGTAGCTTAAAATAGTGTCTGGATGCATTTATAATATTGTTACACATGTAAATATAAGTGTGTTGTCCCACAGTCTGTAAACATCAGGTTCTCTGCCTTTAGAAACTCAAGGTGCATCTTGAAATGTGTGTCCCAAGCCAAGGGTTGGATAAGAAGACCATCTGTGTTATCAGTGTGATACTGCAGAGCACAGTCAATCTCACCTTGTCACAGATGCATTCTTCAAGCTTAAACAAAAAGGGGAAGATTTGTAATTTGGTTTCAAATTTTTTTTTTTTTTTTTTTTTTTTAACTGGTTAGCTATTATATTTGCTGAGTTTAATAAACACTTTTTGACACCTTTGTGCCCTGTCTTAAGGATTTTTGTTTCCCCCTTTTCTGGGGTATATAATTGCATGGTCACCTCTGCCTTTGGCCAGAGGTAGGGATCCACTGTGCACTACATGAATAACAAAGACCTGGGCTTCAGGACTTCTTTACAAAACTATGGTCCTTAGTTGTGATGCATCATCATAACCTCCTCTTTTTCTTTTTGTCAACAGGATCTGTTTTCACCCTGAAAGTTCAAGTAAATGACATCATCAGCCACCAGTACCTGCCACAAGCCGTGGTAGAGGTATTTGTTAACTACACCCAGACAAATTCCACTCTTACTGGGAACAATGGAGCAGTGTTGGTAAAAGTCCCCTACAAATTAGGATTAAGTTTAACTATTGTCTCATACAAGGATGGCTACCTGCTGACACCTTTGCCTTGGAAGACTGCAAGAATGCCAAGTGCGTAAGCGTCTTACAGTCCTATTATTAAACTGTATCTGGCAGTAATTAAATTTCTCTCCTAAGCTGTCTGGGTAGTTGCTGTCAGCTGAACACAACTCAGAGAAGTCAGTCAAGGGAGATGGTGCCTGTCAATGCAGAGCTAAGGGTAAACGGTCTGTTAAACTTGTCAAAATTCTGATTACTCTAAAGCAGAAAATAGCCCTTTTAAAATCTAAGTGGGTTATGTTGTGACACACAGTGAATTCTTAGATTTTTTTTTGCCTAGAGTTAACAAAGAGCTGTTAATGGGTCCTGACAAAAATCCTGTTGACCTGAGTAATTCTTGGAATGCCAATGCTTTTTGTCCTCTAAGCAGATATAACCTGTTACAGCTCTGCTTCAGCAGTGTTTCCTCATAGGTTTTCCTGTTTAACTTGCATGATCTTAAAAATTATCTTGTATGATCTTAAAAATGCACATGATTTTTTTTAAAAAAGAAACTTTTAAGTCACTTTCTTGTGACTTTCTAGTCACTTGTTTATCCATGGAAGGTATAAAACAGTAGCAAACTTTCAGAGGTCTTTCTGCCTAAACACTAAAATAGCTCCTCTGGATAACAGGAGTAATTTATTTAGTCTTAATATGCTCTATGGTATATTAACTGCTCTGTTCACTAGATCTTAAGATTTGGAGACCTGGGAGGATTTTTTTTGGTTGCACAGTGTAATAACAGATATTATCATTTTCCACAGTATACTCATCCGTGACGCTCTCATTATTCCCACAAAGTCAAGCTAATATATGGCTGTTTGAAGATACTGTCTTAATTACTGGAAAACTGTCTGGTAAGTTCTGTGCATGCAGACTGTAACTAAACACTTTGTGATAGCCATCTGCACCCACATGGAAAAAAAATTAAGCATCATTTTATATAATACCTATCTACTTAAAGCCAGATTTTCTGTTAATTATGTAGTTGTATGAGAGGCTGTGACAAGTGCTAGACTGGAAATGCAATAATCACGGAGAAAATGGGTGGAAACTCGTTGTTATGCTGAGTGGATTTCTGAAGGGTAATAAAAACATGGTTTGTCTGTTTTAGTGTGGCTAAGAAAAAATATTACTCTTTTACAGATGCCAAATCTCAACCGAGTGTTCAGTTTCCAAAATCTTTAATGAAGCTTCCAGCAAATCATTTTGCAAATGTTACAGCCTATCTGACAGTTCCAGAGCAATTTCTGAAAGTAGACAGCTTTCTCTATACAACAGGAATTATTCTAAATAAATCAGGTATGTGAATATGATGCTTGGGATTTCTTATAAAGAAAGATTATGACATTACAATGCATATGAGTGCACAGTGTTTCAGAAAAACATATGCGTAATTTAAGTTCATTATATTAGATCAGAAAGCTTTGTTCCACAGGAATGAGCTATAAACACATCAGGTGACTAATCAGTGTTACCTATTTTGGTCTGTGCAGTATGACAACATATCTTCCTTCACTGAAATACAACTTCAGAATCTGCTTTTTACATTTATATGTATGTATATGTACTTATGCTCAGGATTTCATGAGACTGTTTGAACTGGCTTAGCAAACACTTTAAAAATGCAATTATAGCCAGGCTGTACAGTAGCTGAAGCTAAATAAACCAGTCAAACAGCAGCAATTAACTTCAGCTGTGGAGTTCCTGCATTTTCACTGGAGTGATTGGTTCTAGGGGTTACACCCAGCACAAAGATTGTGTGGAAGCCCCTGCTTGGCTCACAGTCAGTCAGGCTGGGCAAGTTTGGGACCAAAGGGTCCCTGTGTGTACAGAACACAGCTGTAATAATGTTTTCTCTGCATCTGTTTCACTGGAGAAGCATTAAGTGGTTTCATGACTCTGCTCTTATATCACTGGATTTTGTGAGTATTTGTCATTCTATCATATAGTTTTTTAATCTGCATAAGTACAGTAATCTCTGGTAGGTTGTACTGTGTGCAGCTCCATCTTTATTTTGTTCTTTTCTTTCTACTCCCAGTGGATCTGAAGCCATGGGGCTTTTAAATTCATCATGGTGCAGGAATAGGGCACTACATGGCTTATTTAAAGTCATCATACGCTATTCTTTAATTTTCATTCCATTAAAGGCAGCATATATACTGATATTTTGACAAAGATATTTAAAAATCTTTCTTGTCTGTATTTCACCTCTTTAAATGGAAGGCAGAAGGAAAGAAGCATAGGAGAATAAGCAGTGTTTATCCTCTTTGAGTGTTCCCTTCAATCTGTCTGGCATGTGTTTTAAATTATTCATATACCCCTAAAGGAATAGGCTTCCTTTTAGGGCAGGTGGAAGCTAATTGATATCTGATGTGCCAGAAGTTCTCTCACAACCAGCTTCTAACAGCCTGCATAGATTTAACATTATTCTGCTACTTAGTAATTCTGTTTCAGCTTCTCTCACCATCCTGTCACACTGGGCATTCTGGAGCATCTGCAAAATGGTGAGAGGAAAACAAAGGAAAGAAACTTTCAGGCTGTTTTGTAAATGCAACATTTCCTCTGAGTGCTTTGACATTCCTCATGATTAACTATTCAGTTAATTCTGGCTGCCAAATTAGGAAACTAATCCTTACAGGAGAGGTTCCACATGCTTTCAGTTTCATTCAATGTTATGTATATTGTGTTTATACCAAAATTCTTGTATGATCTGTATTTCACATCAGTTAGGGGTTTTGTCATCTGATTATTTGAGGGGAAAAGTCCTTCCCCCCTCACCCCAAACCAAGTTTTGCCTCATGGTTAGTTCTATGGTCAGCATAGAACCCAGATGTTGCAAATGTGTTTCTCTTATAGCATTGGTATAGAAATAACTCTGTTTTGTTTTAATCACAAGTTGTTAAAAGTTCAGAAGAAAAGTAATGTTGATTTTTATTTGGTAACAACTGACTGTGTAGCTTGATGTGGATGAGGGCTTGCCTTTAGTAGCTTAATCCTTTATTTATTTAAAAATAAACAATGAAAGGAGAATTATGAGATATTTCTTGCCTTCAGGTTTCAAAAGCATGGAATTAACTCCTCTTGCTGCCATATGTGTAAATGTTCTTTTGGCTGGGAAAGAACTGAATGTAAAGGGTCCCATTCAGGTTACACTTCCTCTTCCCACAACTACTGTAAAATCAGGAGATGCTGTACCTGCCTGGACATTTGATATGAAAATTGGTAAGTGAGTTATTTGTTATTTGCCTTCTAGCAAATAGTGCCTGTAGGTTTGGGCACATGGCACTGTGGGTCATGGAAGATTGATGGCATTATTCCGTGAGGTGATGGTCAATAGGTTGTCATTTATTTTAATGGACTAGCTTGAATTGTTCAAAGGTATTTCCCTGCTTTCATTAGTTCAAAAAGCTTTAGTAAAATTCATTAGCACTCCTCTTGCCTGCATTTAGTGTACTGGATTTTTATTTTCATGGGAGGCTGAGTGTTCACAGAACATATATTTTAAATTTCAAGCCTAGTAATTTTGTGAATTCCTTCTTACAGGAAAGCAAACCTGAACTGAAAGTTTGGATGCTTTGTTTCCTAGAGTATAGCTCTAAGGATCCTCTGATGCTAGAACTGGAATAGATATTGCTTCAGTTAACAAAAACAATTCAGAAAGTGAAATGAAGGGGAAATACGAGTTATCCAAGGGAACAACGTAGTTCTTCCAGTATGCAAAGAGGAGGCTGGGGATTAGTCATTCTAAACCTTTTGTATCCCTTCACATCTAATTTTAGTCAGGAGTGAGTAATGAGCTATGTCCATGTAACCCACTTAGATGACCTGTATTAGGTGTGGGTGCATCAGTGTCCTGATTGTCCTACATTGCACCTCACAGTCACCATCACACTTGAAATATGAGTATATATTGAATATATAGGCTTGCAAGTGAATGAGGTCACATCTTGCTCCTTATGAAGGCAAAAAGCTTTTGTTCAGTGTTTGGAAGTACAGGAGAGGGACACCAGCTCCAACAAAGTGTTGTTTGCACTTTCAAGAAAGAAACTGATCACCTTAATGGAAAAATCCTGAAGAACATGAATTTGAATTAAGGATGTGCTAATAAAATTTGGCTAGGCTGTCTTGTGGGGAAAAAGTAAATAGGATAAGCTTTGGCATAGAAGATTAAGTCTGTCTTTACACCTAGAAGACTGCAGAGGGGTAATTGGTGGAAAGAGATGGCATTTTAGAGGGTTTTAGTCTGAGGTGGTAAAATATTACCCAGGATTTAAATTTCTTATTGCCACAGCCACTTTTGCCAGCTCCTGTGCTCATGGTGGTTTTTTACGTCCCTAAACAAAGCTAAATCAATGCTGTTGTTAAACAAGGAGTTGACAGAACTGGAGCAGCACAGTATCAGGTTAGAATACAAACCAGTGTAGGGTGTTTATTTGGATGTTGAGGGTCCTACTCAGCACCCCTACATAGGCACATTGGCCTTGGGAGTAAAACAGGAGCCAGAAACGTGGCCTGCTGATCCAAACCGCAGTAAAATCAGCTGTTTCTTCCTCTCCAATGGTATGTACTTTACAGAGATTCCATAAAGGCAAGCTGTTTGTCATGGATGCTCTCTGAGGTATACTGTTCACTGCTGCATGCTGAAGAGAGGGACAGAAGGATGGGGGGAAAAAGACAGCAACTTTTGGGGCATAAATTAACCTCTACTTTTTCCTCCCATTTCTTCCTTTCTTAACAATAAGAATTTGCAACTGTATTTGCTTTCTGGATGTTTATTCTTAAGTATTTTCCTTTTATTTTTTTACCTGTGATCTGACACATGCAAAATGACTTTTTCCCAAGGTAACTGAGTAGTAGCAAGGTGTGTTTTAGTCAAGGTTCTGGTGACTGAGGGCTGCTGAACACCTCAGCTCTGCAGCAGGCATTGCAGAGCATCCATAAGGAGCAGCAAGCCCCCATCTGAGCTGAATGCAGAGCTCCTGCTGCACTCAGTAATGAGGCTCTGGCCTCCAAGATGCTGCATGTGGGATGTCCCCAGCAAGGCATTGACACAGTTTTTAACTCTCAAGTCCTTGTTAATGTGTTATGATGGTAATCAGAGCTCCCATGTCAGCACTGATAGTGGCAAGGGAACAGGTTTGTGTGTGCTGTGCTGTGGGTGACCCATATGTAGCAGGAAAAAGATTTCTGCTTTCACAGGTCTGCCTGTGCAGTGCTCCTGGGGCTTACTCCAAGTGGAGTAGTACTGAGACTTCCTGGAAAATGATCTCTGGTAATTGTACTCAGCTGCTGTAAATGCAGAGTTTGTTCATCTGTATTGAGTGTGGCTTCCTTCTTATGAAATATTTTGCTGCATTAGGGCTAAAAGTACTTTGTGGATTTTAATAGAATTACAAAAAATAGAAAGCTTGCTTTCAACATTAAATTGAAAATTATATCCTTCTGCTTGGATGGCAGTAAACCACAGAGAAAATGGGCTTACTCATGAATCACATTTTAATATTATTTCTTAATACCAAGTATTTTCTATGTAGTATATTGGGGGAAGATGTAATTTGCTAAAAAGGACAGCAAACATTGTATAGCTTCTTATGGATTTGTTCAGTCAAAATAGAACTTCTGGAGACTTCTCTAGAAGTTATTTTTGCCTTTTATACCAGGTTTGCTGGTATTACTTCTGACTCTGGACAAGATTTCTCAGGTGGCTGAGAAAGCACTTTCAGAGCTCTAGGTGGTTGCTGCTGCCTTTCCCCTCTGCCAGCCATCACAAGCACTAGAGAATGTCAATGCTTTATTTTTTGTGTGTGTGCCTTCATCTGTAGCAGATGTCCATCCTCATCTTTACCTCCTGGTTGGGAGATATTTACTTTTCCTTTGCTGAAAGAAGGTTCCTGGAAGAAAATCAAATTTAAATTCATTTAAGCTCCAGCTTACATGAGTTATACTGTTTTCATCCTTTGATTATTGGTGTTTTAAAAAAGCTGGTGGTTCTCCCTGCCTCTCAGTATTTGCAGGTTGAATATGGAAGATTGGTTACATGAGGCTGTTTTCTGTCCTTAGAAATTTACAAATTACCCACAATAAATGTGTTTAAGTGAGTTAATTCTCTCTCTTCGAATGGATGCTTTATTAATTGTAGAAGCTGGCATACCATAATACCTTTCCTTTGATTGCCAAACAGATGGTGTGGAATCTGTGTCCTAACAATAGCACTTCCTTGGGCTAACTGAACTGTTACAGCCTCGGGGCAGGGAGAATCAGAGAAGCATCCAAGACAAACGTTTTTTATCATATAATGGTTTAATAAGATTAAAATGTTTTCCCACTAAGTTCTGCTAGCTGATGTTAAAGTTGTGTTCATATGCTTCAGTTACCTCAGTTTTTAGTCTTGGCCTTCATGCATGTTAAAGGTTCTATACCAGGCTTTCTCAAATTATTTATGTGCATATCTGTGAAAGACGATTATTAATAGGAAATGAATCATATTGAGTTTACTTCTGGTGAGTAATGCTGATGCTTTGTTTCAAAGTAAATGTCTACAGATGGATGTTTGCAATGAAATTGTCAGGAGAGGAAATTTGCCTATTCAGCAGAAGCTGTGCAATAAACAGTGGCTAGGTCAGAAGTTTCAGTTTTTCCTGTGATCTTGTATATTTTTGATAATGGCCTAATTGCTGATGAAGAATTGCTGAATAGAAGAATCCTGCATGGCATGTGCAATGTTTTGTCCTTTTTTTTTTTCCCCAGGTGCTTGGGTAAACCGTGGGCTAGGAATGGTGAAGGAAGTGGATGGCCAGTTAGTATGGACATACACTGCCCAGCACTTGGGCTACTGGATAGCAGCTCCACTGCCTGGAACAAGAGGTATGGCAACAACTGGCCAAGCAATTGCTGAGTGCCCCATGTAAGGCTGTCAGTTTGATTGCTTCATTTAACAGCAGGGAGGGAGAAGTGACATGCAGCTTCACCGCTTGGATAACTTTTGTTCGAGTCCTTGGTGATTTTCTTGCATGTTTTGTAAATTCATATGAAGGGATCTGTCAGAGAAACAGTGTGGCTAATTGCGAAAACAGATAGCACTCTCTGGCAGAGTGCTAAGTAGAAAATGTAGACCACTTTTCTAAGTTAGTTTGGACAATTAATACAAATATAATTTATCTGGAATGAAGTAGATGTCATGGTAAGTCTTTAGTATTTGGGATGAACCTGTCATTTTCACTATCCTGTTGAAATAGCAAGGTGAAAAGGGAAGGATGACTAAAATGCCATTGGAACACAAAATCACTGGAAAAGTACTGTTCAGTTTATTAGCTCTGCACATCAAGTGAAATAATTTGGTTTTAAGAACTAATGCTTGTCTGGTTTTGTTTGATAATCTAGAATCCATTATCAGTGCTGTTTCCAAGGACATAACAGCCTATCACACCGTGTTCCTTACGGCCATACTGGGAGGAACAGTTGTCATTATCATTGGATTTTTTGCTGTTCTTCTTTGTTACTGCAGGTAAGCAAAAGAAATTCCAGCGAGCTCATTATGAGTGGAATTTGAGATTGATAAAATAGTCTTTTGAGGTTAAGACTTGTTTTCTTAGCTAAACTGTAATGTGTAGCCTAATTTTTTTTTTTAATTATAGTTGTTACAGAACTTAATTTTAAGTTTGTGATGTCAAATTACATTACAACTTCTTAACCAAAGTCTAACCTTCATCTTTGGCAGTCAACAGTTCAGTATTTCCTAATATGCTCTGCAGTCACCTTACTTCTCTTTTGCATAGGGATAAATGTCGTCGGACACAGAAGAAGGAAAAAAACTCAACCAAGCTGGAGGTCATAAAAAAAGACCAGACAACATCAACAACTCACATAAATCACATCAGTGCTGTCAAAGGGTCTTTAAAGCTAGAGGATAAGTCACAGTTATATACACCGAAGATTTCTTCATACAGCCCTCAAAGGAGGCTGTCCATAGACACAGAAGATGGAAAATCACAAGACAATTTTAAAATCTACTCAGAGGATGCTTCTTATCAGTCGTCCTGTCAGACTGGTCAGGCAGGAAATTCAGCCCATTCAGTGGAGCCTAATGCTGGAATGAGGCTTTTACAGCAGCCAAAGCACAGTAACAGTACCATTTCCCAGGCTCCTAGGGACATTCCAGACCAAAACAGGTACCTTTCCCTGAAAGAGGAGATGTATGGGCTTTCCCATATCCCAGAACATCTAATGCATATTTACAATCAGCCTATTGCTATTCTTCAAACCTCAGACCTTTTCCACTCCCCAGAGCAACTGCATCCTGCTAAATCAGCAACTTTGCCAAGGAAAGGGCAGCTGGTGTATGGCCCCATGATGGAACCCATGAATCGTGACAGTTACATGCAAACGCTCCCCAAAATGCCAGTGCACTCTCATCCCCAGCCTTCTGCCTGCAGAGATGAGAGCAGTGCCCTGGATGGTGAAGAGGGCTTATCTTCCCAAGCATCCAACTGGGGCCGGTACACCAACAGCTTACTGGAATCTGTCTCTGTTCCTGGGACACTGAATGAAGCAGTTGTAATGACTCCGTTTTCATCTGAACTTCAAGGGATTTCAGAGCAAACCTTGCTGGAGCTCTCTAAAGGAAAACCATCTCCACATCCTCGAGCATGGTTTGTGTCCCTGGATGGAAAGCCAATTGCTCAAGTGAGGCATTCTTTCATTGATCTGAAAAAGGGCAAAAAAACTGAGAGTAATGATACTAGTCTGGACTCTGGTGTGGACATGAATGAGCATCACCCTAACAGGAAACTGGAGAGAGAGAAAACTTTCATTAAAAGTATGCCACATTCTAAAATTCTTTACTTGGAAGATCTGGATCTGAGTGGCAGTGAAAGTGGGACCACTGTTTGCACTCCAGAGGACCAGGCTGTGAGACACATTATGGAAGGAGGGACTGGGCCAGTCTTAGAACAACATAATGAGGAAGGTCTAAGGAAAAAATCTCTACCGGGAAGTCATGAATCTGGTATCCCTTCTGCTAAAAAAAGGGATAGACCACCTCTCATGAAAAGAGATAGCAAAACCAATATCTGGAAGAAAAGAGAGGAGAGGCCGCTTATTCCTATAAATTAAAACACAATGTGCTTTGTGCTGTTGCTCTCCCTGCTGGTTGTTGATCTCTTGCCTGCTTCTGTAATTCTGCAGTGTTTGGTTTACAAGGGAAATGTTGTTTTCTAGTATCAAGAAAAGTTTCATTTTTTAACATACAGATTGAGTTACCAAACTTCAGCTGGGCAATTGATATTCCATGTGAATTGAAAACAGGGAAATGCTACTATTAAACTTTTCCACTTCCTAATTTTACTGGCAGTATGAGGAAGGCCCACATTTTACTTAGCCTGTCATTCTTGGACACACTTTTGGGAATGCACAGTGAGAAATGTAGGCACATGATTTAATTTTTTTGTACTTGTTGCTAATGCAATGGTAGCCTAGTTAAAGCCATTCCTAGCCTTGTTCCTAATCAACATGACCATCTGTACAGTATTTTATATGTGAACTTTTCTAGCTATCTGTTACTACTTCTTTGTATAATGTGAAATGTTTCATTCGTTGGTCCCACGACACCAGCAGATGAGCTCTGCTGGATTTATCAGCAGAGCTCTAGAGCATTACTGCCCTCCCTGTGTGCCCATCCATGTGCAATTCCATACAACACTGGGGGAAGGGTACAAGTGTGGCCGCTGCAGTTCATGGTCTCCACCATCTTGAGGTGTTGCCCATCTGCTTTGTTTAATTCTGCTTTATTATGGCCCATGGATCTTGAAGACTGTCATGGGCTATGAAGGGTTCATGTCCAGCAAAAAAGGACTGGTTCTGGTAGCATTTGGAGCTGCCCCACTCCTGATCCCAGTGTCTTGTTTTGGCTTCTTTGTCTGTGAAAATCTTCTCTTCTGTATGCTGTTGGGCCAGCTGTGCTCCAGAATATAGCCTTGAATCTCTGCCTATTTCTAAGTGAGAGTTTGGCCCAAGATGAAGAAGTGTGCAAGATTAGACAAATTATGCCTTGGAAAGAGTTTCTTGAGCAGGAAATCTTGGCACCGTTGCTTTTTGTTTTATGTTTAAAACAATGGGAGATCATTTGAGGTTTTTGTGCCTACATTTTGCCAGCCTGAGCTGCTTTTGTATAGGTTTGCAGAGGAGTTAAACAGGCTTTAGAAGTTGGGGGGGAGGTTATGAGCATGAGACAGCAGATTGCAAAAATTTGGTCTATAATGCAATATAAATACTATTTATGACTCATCTTAGAGTTAAATTTACCAAAAGTCATGAATGCATGAATTGTAACTAAGATATGTATAGAGGAAGGAAAGGCCATCAGAATATTCTTTAATTTTAATGTTCATCTTGTCAAAGTGATCATTTCAACTTTGGCTAACAGAAAAATGGATGCATCTCTTAATGTGCTTCATATAGTAAACAGAATGTATTTCTGTGGTTTTGAGGCTGTTTCCCTGATGAAATAAGTTCCAGCATTTTGGCTTTGGCAGTTTGATTATAAATCATTCTAAAAGGCTTTATAAATATTTCCCTTAAAGCTTGGTTAAGGGTCTGTACCAAGACCCAAACATACAATGCCTTTATTTGAATTGTGATGTGAAAGAACCTCAGTTTTCTGCCCTGTAGTACACTCAAGAGTTGGGAAGTATCCTATGCAGCTGGGCTTCTGGGAATATTTACTCAGGAAATATTACTGTGAAATATGTCTGTTGTGTTGGGATTGTCAGTTGTTTGGTGCTGTTTCTAGAACAATATGGACGGTAACCAGGATGGTACCAGCGATGCATCAGTCCATACTGAGCATTTGCTTCATGAACAAAATGTTCCTATTGAGTTCACAAGTATGAAAGTGCAAATTAAGTTTGAGATAGGTGTGTGTGTGTGGTAGGTTGACCTTGGCTGGATGTCAGGTGCCCATCAAGCTGCTCTATTGTTCCCCTTTCCCAGGTGGACAGGGGAGAGAAAATAAGATGGAAGACAACTCCTGGATTGAGATAAAGCAGTTTGCTAAGGCAAAAGCAAAAGTCTTCGTGTGCACAAAAAGGAAAAAAATAGGTTTGTTCTCCACTTCTCATCAGCAAGCAATGTGTGACTGCTTCCTGGGAAGCAGGGTTTCAACACATGTAGTAGTAGTTGCTCCAGAAGGCAAACCTAGTAAGTAACAAATGCCCCCACTTCACCCTCCTTTCCTTAGCTTTTATGAGCTGATGTCAGATGGTATGGAATATCCCTTTGGTTAATTTGGGTCAGCTGGCTTAGTTGTGTCCCCTGCCAGGATCTTGTCCACCCCCAGGCTGCTGGTTGGCAGGGAATGTTGAGAGCACTGATGCTGTGCCAGCCTTGACCAGCAGTAGCAGCCGAAACACTGGTGTGTTATCAGCACTTTCCAGCTCCCAATACAAGGCACAGCACTGGGAAGGCTGCTATGGGGAATGGACTCCAGCTCAGCCACACCAAATATCTATGGGCATCACCATCACAGCTGGGAATATCAACTCCTGTGCCTGGAGCACCTCCTTCCCCTCCTTCAGCACTGACCTTGGTGTCTGTAGAGTTGTTCCTCTTACATGTTTTCACCCTGCTCTTCTCTGGCCACAATTATGTCTGCACAAAAACTTCTTTTCCTTCTCAAATCTATTATCACAGAGGTGTCACCATCATTTCTGACTGGCCCAGCCTTGGTCAGCAGCAGCTCTGTCTGGGAGCTGCTGGCATTGGCTCTGCTGGGCATCATGGAAGCTTCTGGCAGCCCCTCACCCATGTAGAACCCCCCACCATCAAAACCTGATCACCCAAACCCAATACATATGGTGGAGTAACTGTGCCTGCAACCCATGGAGTGCAGATATCCACCTGCAGCCTGTGGAGGATGCCTGAACGAGACTCTGAACCCATGGGAAAGCTTTGCTGCTGCAAACTCCTGGCAGGACCTGTGGAGACAAGAGGTTTCCTGGTAGTACCTATGGGGGACTCATGCTGGAGGCAGGCTGTGCCTGAAGGACAGCACCCTGTGGAAGAGTGAGCCATGTTCGAGCAGTTTGTGGAGAACTGTTGCCCTTGAGAAGGACTCAACTTGGAGAAGTTTATGGAGAGCAGCCTCCTGTGGGAGAGCCCTGCGCTGGAGCAGGGGAAGGACTTCTGGCCTTAAGCAGTGGCAGAAACCACACATGGTGGAACTGACCCGTTCCCGTCTCAGAAACCACACGTGGTGGAACTGACCCGTTCCCATCTCAGAAACCACACGTGGTGGAACTGACCCGTTCCCATCTCAGAAACCACACGTGGTGGAACTGACCCGTTCCTGTCTCCCTGTGTCACTGCAGGGAGGAAGTAGAGCTGGGAAGGAGGGTGGGGTGGGGGGAAGGTGTTTCTAAGATTTATTTGTCATTATCCTGCTCTGGTTTTGTCAATAATAAATTCAGTTAATAACCCCAAGGTGAGTGAGTCTGTTTTGCCTGTGACAGTATTGAGTGAGTGATCTCTCCTTGCCTCAATTCAGGAACCTTTCATTGGATTTTCTCTCCTCTGTCCACTTTGAGGAAGGGATTGGTAAGAGTGGCTTTGGTGGGTGCCTGGCATCTAGGCAGGGCCAAACCACTACAGTGTGCAAATAAGTCTGTAATTAAATTGGCCTCAATAACCTAAAAGGAGTTTAATTATGATTCATCTATTTCAGGTGTGAAGATGGCTTGTCATATTAGCATGCCTTTGGTTCTCTTTCTAGGTAACAGGAAATTTGTTTTCCAATACCAAATATATTTTCACTAGAACTTTTTTTTTTTAATGTACCGTTGTATTGGATTTTTAAATATGACTTTCTAGGCTCAGATATTGACCATTTCATCCTTTGCTTTGTTGTATACATTAGTAGGAATCAATTTGTATGTGCACATTTCTTCTGAAAGCTGCCCTCGAGGATCAATATTGCCCTGTTTGCAGAGTTGCATTGGTTCTGATAGCTCCCTTTTCAAAAAGAGATTATTAGACATTCTGTTGAACATAATAGAAGATCCCTGACAAGCTAATGGTTTTGAGGAATTAACATTAAGTCCATAAGTCTTTACTTGAAATTTTGGTCACTTACAGTAATATTTCAGATTTTTAAATGCATTTTTCATTGTATATACTAAAAAGACCTAATTCCTCAAACTTATTTGTATCATAAAAAAATACAGACTACTATAAATGGCTTTATTTGCATGAGTTCAAAGGAAACAAGTTTGGCACTCCATTGTTCTCTTTCTCTGGCAGACTAGATATCCAGTCGTCAAAGAAAAAGGATTATAAATCCAACTCTAAAATTATTATGATTATTATTTATATTAATACAGAATATTTCAAAATATATTATCTCAGTCTTCATATTCCAGCAGTATGTTGGAATTTATGCACTGGAATAACCTGTATTGCCTGCTAGAGATTAGAATTCTTTTTGGTTTTATATAATTTTAAAAAAGAGTTTGACTATTCTGAGCTCTAAAAATTTTAATTCCACAAAACATTCTACATGATGTGTAATGTATGGAGAAGACAGAATGTCACAGTGAAGTGTCACAAACTAATGGTTTTCTATATTTCTCTGTATGATTTCAACATATGGATTTTTAGGAACTACTGAATTTATTTTTTTAAGATTTTTTTTTCCTGTTGGCCTTTTGTGGCATTAACAGACTGTTAAAATGCTGGTGCCAGATTTAGGCCTATACAAAAATTAGCAAGGAATTGTGGCACACAGCTCTTGGAAAGGCTGGGGAAACATTCAGAGGTTTTCACTTCTTTGAATCTGGAGGTTGCTTACCTTGAGAATAAGAAGGAGGAAATGTCTGTGAGCCTCTTCTAAGGAGGGGAATGAACAGGGAAAATTGGAAAGGGTACAGCTTCTTTCTGATGCTGCTTTGCAAACTGATACATGTTTGTGCTTTGGTGGAATAAATTCCTTCTGAAGAACACAAATGTTTGCAAGACTTATGTCTCAGTTCTTCACAAGGCACTTCTTGAACGGTCAGCTTTTGCAAGGAAAGCCTTTATTTATGTACATATAGTTTTAAGTGCAAGCTCATTGACAGTAATTTTTAGATTGTTACCAAATGCTAGATATTATAAATGAAAAATAAAGGGTGGGAGAATCACTTAAAAATCACATTTGATTAAGAGGAAAAAAGTCCTTATAGTGCAATCAGAAAGTAGAGCTCTGGTATTACAAACCTGAAAGTAAAAATTATGTGTTGATTAGGGGCATTACTTACCACCATAAAGCTGGAGGTGATGCACCAGAAATAATCCAGGATGTAGGAATGTTTAGTCGTCTGCTTTGTTTTTATGCAGTAATTTGTACCAAAGAGGGTGAAATGAACGGGCACCAGTATAAATTCTTGTTAGTTAAAAAGTGACAAAGTTTCACAACATTTCTGATCAAACACTGTGCAAATGAAAAGGCGGTGCACTACATCTGTTGTCTAGTGCTTTACATTAGGAAAATCTGGAGATAAATTAGCCTGCTGAAGTGCCTTTCTGTTTCATCAAACTTATTTTATCAGTGGGACACCTGACTATCTGAAAAGCACATTATGTTTTTATTTTCTGTTAGCCAAAATGCCCTCAATTCATACAGTTATATAGCTTTTATAATATTTTAAGAGGCAGATCTAGTGTTTTTTATGTTGGAATACTGACTTCTGCATGTTGATGATGATGGTAGTTGTTGTAAAACCTAGTTTTTGTATTTTATGTTTGAAAAGAAATTTTAAAAATATATCTCTAGCAATCTGAACAGTAGTGTCTTTTAAAAATGCTCACACGGGATCTGATTCAACTTTGTGTGTCAAGTGCAAGCATCTTGAAGTCACTGGATTTACAGGTATGAAACTGACTGGGATATTAACTTTAAAAATGAAATTAACATATGTTTATATATAAACACTATGAAAATAATAGAAGTCCTTTTTTCAGCTGCCAACTTTGCTTGTCAGTGGCAGCAGAAATTGTATTGAATGGGTACATAATTCTTATTTTCTAGAACCAATTTTTATCTGAATTTGGAGCCTAACCTGCATTGTTTTTAATAGCTTTTTATTTTTTTTTAATTCAGTGGTATTATGAAAATACAGTACTATGCCTATGAAGTTAAAGATGAGCATTCTTTTATAGGAATTTGTACTAATTTGTGCCACACTTCTAAAAGTAGGTAGCTACATTTGCATTAAAGAATCTATATGAAAGGTGGTTTAAATGACTTGAATCTGAGCTTTGTTTTCTTTTAAAAGCAGTATTTATTTTGTTCTGAAAAAATAAAAAGCTTCAGTTTTTTTTTAAGACTGGCAGGGCGAAACTGTCATTTCTTGTCATGCTAGCACTCTCACCCTGAAAACTGTTTCACCAAATGATTTTTTTCAGTCAGTTTTAGGACTTACTGAACATTCCTATATTCCTCCTCCCCAAAATATCCTGGTACTTTATTCCCCAGGTAACTGATTTAGTTCCTTTGAAGCACTTGTTGCACTTCAGTCCACGTTAGAACAGTGCTATTTTTACATGTCACTGTGTAGAAAGGCAGTTTTTAGTGCTCATTAGAGCATGTTACTCATACAAAGCCTGGCTCTGGATGTTGCAAGGCAGGTGAAATCATGGCACTGGCTGTGCTCACCACCTTGAATTCAGGAGCCTCTTATTCAACAAACGCTTCGTGACCTCGGCAATTATTTTCAAAAACTCTCTAGTATGGATATTGTTTGTGTAAAACATTCTTGATATTCAGCATCCTGGTTTTAAGTATTTCTACCTTTTTATATTTTGTCAGAGGTGTCTTTTCATCTCTGTATTTACTACAGTATCAGTGTATCTGTTGCTGAAAATGTAACTAAGGTTTGTAAAATGTTACAGCTTATGCAATATAATAAAAATTTGAAAAAGTTATCAACGCCTGAAATTTTATTTGTTTATCTTTGTAGTGACATCCGTCAACACTTTCTTTCCAAATATCATTAAATGTATTTCTGTCATCACCATAATTCCCATGACAAAAGAATGTCATCCTCCTTCAGGTTACCAGTTCTGATAGAGTCACATTCTCTGTTCTGTTTCCTGTGAAGAAAAACATCTTGTAATCTTCAGCTGGACTTTGGAGACAATTTCGCTGCAAACAAAAGCATATAAGCAGAATAAGGAGCTAAGTTAAAAAGTTTTTAATCCTTTATGATGAAGTCATAGCTAAATTATTTATTTGGAAAAGGACAATCCAAATGCATACTACAGAATCATTTGGAGATGTACTCCACTAAAAGCAAGTTTAAAAACGTTTGCTTTGTTTGCCATGGATGTTTGTTTGCAAAGCATATGTTATCTACTCTCTAGGTGACGTTGATGCCAAAAAGATTTTTAGTTTTTTTGATTTTTCTGTTGCATTGAAAAGTTCTTTAATTTCTAAATTCTATTAGAATGAGAATAAGTGCACATTTTCTCTGTGAAGCGAGCACTTCACTGCAGAGCCATTGTCCAGTTCATCTTGGTGGTCTGCCCAAAGTTTTAGGTATCTAATGTGAACATTACCACAAATGTATCTACAGAAAATGAATTCCAATTTCTGTTATCTCTCCAAAATTAAGAAAAATCACGTAGCAATACTAAATAGTCTTCCCTTTTCTTTTCCTTCTTCCTCTCCACCCACATTTTATCTCCTAAGATGTCCACATTTCCCCAGATGGCAAAAGGGCTGTAACAACTGTCAGGTATTTTTTGTTGTGAATTTATTCTAGCATTAGAAGTGTAGCAAGTTAGAGAACAAATGTTATGCCTAACCTGTACTAAGGGAACTAAAGCACTTTCCTTAATTACACCTCCTGACATATGGGACAAACATCTTCATCAATTTCTCCCTGATCAATCCATTTGTCATTCTCTGCCTTGTAAGAGTCTTAAACTGTTTTACAGAGAAAGAATTAACTGTGTGATTATATGAGAGAAGCTGAGTAATCTTACTGTAGCAAATTTAGTTTAATAAATTTAAACCAGTGTTTAAAATTAGATCTAAATTAAGGGCTTAGTCCCCCTCCCAGTTTATATCCCTGTCACTGATTTCTCCAGTGACCTGATGGAGCTCTCCGGATTGCCAAAAGAACAAAGCTGGCCAAACCCTCCTGTATTCTGTTCATGTGGTGGGTTTTAATTCAGCCTGTTGAATTTTGAGGTAGGTAATACATCCTTATTACTTTAACAGAGATGGTGCAGGGGCAGAAGCGCAAGTGTGACGGGGAGCAGCTGAGGGTGTTGTTTTATATCCAGAAATTTTATCCAGAGATTTTGTCGGTCTCTACAATTCGCTGAAAGGAGGGAGGGTGGACGTCGGGCTCTTCTCCCACGTAACAAGTGACAGGACGAGAGGACACAGCCTTAAGCTGTGCTAGGAGAGGTTTGCCTTGGACATGGGAAGAATTTCTTCACAGAAGGTGTGATTCGACATCGGAGCGGGGCTGCGCAGGGAGGCGCCGCTGCCCCGTGGAGGTGCGGCAGGGCAGGCGGGACGTGGCGCTGGTGTCGGGGCGCCGGTGCCGGGTGCCAGGCCGGCCTCGCTGCCCTCGGAGGTGTTTGGCCCCCGGAGGAAGCCGTGACTCGGTGTCGGAGCGCACACGGAACCTCCGTTCCCGCCGGGAGCGGTGGGATCCCGGGGGCCCTCAGCGGCGGCCGCCATGGCGCGGCCGGGCCTCGGCTGTGGGCGCTGAGGGGCTGCGCCTCAGCCGTGCTGGCCCCGCGCCCCTCGCTGCGCTCGGCCGGCGCTGCAAACAAACAAACCGTGGTTTACTGAGTGGTTTTGAAAGGCTGAGTGCCCCGCGCTTTGTTTTGTGCTTCTGAAAGGCTGAGCAGCCCCGAGACCCGGGCTGCTGCTCTGCGCGGCGCTCGCTAGGGCGAGCTGCTGCACTCCCTCCAGCCTGCAAAAACCGCGTTTATTCACCGCCCCTTAAATATTCGGAACACCTCTTCAAACTGCTGCGAGTCTTGTGGTAATAAAGAGTAGTTGATGTAGTTTTTGCACATATATACGTCAGTATGTAATAGTATATCTACATGTATATAGTCTATAGTATAGAAATACATTTTCCACATACTATATATAGTATATCTATAATATAATGTAATAGTATATAATAGTATATATAGTGTATATATATACTATATGTATACTAATATAGTATATAATAGTGTATATATAGTGTATATATCGTGTATATATATACTAATATAGTATATAATAGTATATATAGTATATATATACACTATATATACAATACTGTATATATAGTATATATACTCTATATATATACTATATATATACTACACCAGTATATATAGTTGGTGTTGTTTTTACTAGTGTGTAGATATATATGTACACATATCTCTAACCTATATTATATGTGACAGTATATATAATATATAATAATAAATTATATATGATATTATAATATATAACATTACAATATATTATATAACATACAATATAATACGTATAGCATATAACATAGTATGTATTATAGCATATATAATAATATCTATAATATTCTGGAAATTATTTATTATATGTATATAATATTAGGAAAAAGTTCTTCCCTGTGAGGGTGTGTCGAGGCCCTGGCACAGGTTGCCCAGAGAAGCTGTGGCTGTCCCATCCCTGGGAGTGTCCAAGGCCAGGTTGCCAAAACTTGGACCAACCTGGGATAGTGGAAGTTGACCCTGCCTGTGGCCTTTAAGTCTCCTTCCAACCCAAACCATTCTATGATAATGTGGTAATGGAGGTGTCAGTCCCATGTATCTTTTTTAAGGTGTAAGAAATTCTTCCTGCCCTGTTCTTGGCTCCTCTGAAGTGCCCTTTTGTTTCAGAAGTGACTGAGTCCAGCTGGAATGTGACAGAGATGGAGCCAAGCTCCCAGACAGGCAGGAAGGGTCAGCAGAGGGGCTTGGGGGTGCCAGAGGAGGAGGGATGAGGTTCTGGGACCTGTCACTGTTCCACACCAAACCCGCCCTGTGCCTGATGGTGAAGGAAAAGCTGCAAAATCCAGATCAGTGCAGAGGTGAGAACAAGGTTAGACAGAAAGGTTTTTGAACACTTGACTCACAAAAGAAAGAGGGCACTGAGTGAGAGAGACCTGTTGTGTGAAAGGCACTGACTGCACAGGTGCAGCCACAACAGGGAACAGCTCCGGTGAGCTGGTCACAGCTGCCACTTGAGTCAGGCACATCAAACTGGAACAGTTGAAGTGGCTGTTTCTGGCTAAGCTGTGTATCAAATAGTCCTCAGAGGTAATTATTTCATCTAATTTTCATCTAATCCTGCCAGAAGAATGAGGATAAAGGGGAGCAGGAAGAGAATCAGTAGACAACATCCCTAGGTGCAAAGCTCTTATTCCAAGTCCTCAAGATAGCATTTTTTAGCTAGGTATCACAGACTTCTTGTAAAATCTTATAGATCAGCTTATTAATTTTCTCTTCCTTGTTTTCACCATGGTATCATCTCTCCTGAATCATGTTTTAGTAAACAAAAAGTTATTTTTCATCTTTCTTTCCCTTCTAGGCATGAGATGTTATAGAGTTAACAGCCATGAAGAAATGTTTTGCACCTGCTGTGGGTGAAGAGGAATCCTAAGAGTGGTTAAGATCGATCCCTAATCTTGTGATTTATACAATTCTTATTCCTAGGTTTGAGAATGGTACCTAATTATGCTTGTACCTTGCAAAACTTTTGAAACATGGAATTACAAATATATTTAAAGGATTAAATTACAGATTATTTTGGACTTGTCCACAGAAAGAGCTTCAGAAAAGAAACTGTAAATTTTAGAGATTAACAGCTGCATTTAGCATATTTTGGACATGTTTTCCCCAGGTCAGTGTATAGAGAGCCCTTTTAGTGAGAGCCCAGGGAATGTTGTTTTATTTGTTATATATAACACATAGCAAACAGTTCCTTTTTGCAGTTACAAAATTACATGACATGGCACAAGATGCATCAATTTGCTCTTACAGGCTGTTTACCTCTGAACTATTTCCTGTTCCAGAGCTGGTCTAGTATATATTCACTTTTTATTTTTCTGGCTTTACTGGTCTTGGAGCACAAGTGTTCTTAACTCTCAGTCCATTATAGCATTACAGAATTTGAAATTACTCTGGTCTATTCCCCATTAGAACAGATTAGCTTGTACTGATTTTTGCCAGCAGAGTTTGAATAGGATATTCAAGTATGGGCACACTCATGCTTTGTCTCAGGACCCATGTGCATTAATGATCTTTAGAAATAACTGTGTGTAAAAGTAATAACTCTTGTAGGTTTTGTCCTAATGTTTTTTTAGATGGTACATGGCTTTTAATTTGTTTTATTGCATTTTAAGCCAATGCCAGCTTCATCTTTAGTGTCACTGCACAAAAGCTTCCTGAACCCCTAGAATTTTTTGGCTGTTAAAAGGTACAGCTGAGTGGCATCAGCTGTCTGTTGATCTCTCCGAATTGTCACTGTGAGGTGTCCAGGTAACAGTGAATTATTTTGCCCTCATGGGATGCAATTTTGTATACTGTGGGGTCGCAGTTCTGAATTCCCTTTTGAAATAGAAAGTAGAAAAAAATTTGAGTTCCCGCCTCTGTGGAAGGTCAAATCTCTCATTTCTGTATACTTGGGAAGTCTTTGATTTCCAGAATTTAAGCTATGTAAAATAATACAATAATAAAGCTCTGCTCCACTCTTTGTCACCTTCTTAAGATTTATTGGATCAGAGAGCAGAAAGATGATTTTTTTACCTTGCTACTTTATATATTGGTCTGTGAACACTTAGACTTTTTTTTGAGAAAGTCTCAGTAGAAAACAAAATAAAACAACATACAAGCAAGTAAAAACCAGATATGTAATCCTAATATTTCTGGAATCTCCTGCAAAT